ATGCCTTCCCTAACCCACATGTTACCCCACGTTTTCCTTACTCAATTATTCCAAGGATTTGCCAAATAATTAATTAATTAATTAAGAACACTTGACAGAGGGCCCCCGAAACACAAATTCCAAACACCATAACAGAATTACAACCATTCCTACAACTGTCATATAATTTCCTACCTTAACAATTGCAGACATTTGATCACTTGATATGTTTCGCTTATGAATCAGTTATTTCAATGAGTTTCACATAATTTAACCATTTCAACACATTACAAGCATACAAGTAATTCATTACCAACTTATACAACCATTACTTGATTACTTAACACAAGAGTCTTTATAAGGCTTTCATTTACCAAAGAAATGTTCACATGACTTGAAACAATCCCTACACCTATAGGTCTTGCACAACTAGAGGGACTTCACTAGCATTTAGGAAGGAATCAACTTGGACACAATGGTAGTTGTTTTAGAAATAGAAAGGTCACATAATTTCTTCTAGACTTGATCAAACAGATGGGGATATTTCTCTTTCATTTCCTTCTCCGCTTCCCATGTAGCTTCCTCAACTTGTTGACTTCGCCACAACACCTTAACTGAGGCAACTTCCTTATTTCTCAACTTACGGACTTGTCTATCAAGAATGGCAACCGGAACTTCTTCATATGACAGCTCTTCATTAACCTCGATAGTCTCGACTGGCACGATAGTGGACGGATCTCCAACTACTTTCTTCAACATAGATACATGGAACACCGGGTGCACTAATGACATCTCAGGAGGAAATTCCAACCTATAGGCCACATGCCCGATGTACCTAGGATTCAACTTACCTTTCTTCCCGAATCGCATGACTCCCTTCATAGGAGATACCCTCAAGAACACCCAATCATCAACTTGAAATTCCAATTCTCTTCGACGAACGTCCGCATAGGATTTCTTGTGACTCTGAGCAGTTTTCATCCTTTCCCGAATGACTTTAACTTTCTCCACAGCCTGGTGCACAAGATCCGGTCCTATTAATTCTGCTTCACCCACTTCAAACCATCCGATCGGAGACCTGCACCTCCTTCCGTACAATGCCTCAAATGGGGCCATTCGAATGCTAGCATGAAAGCTGTTATTGTAAGCAAATTCTATAAGTGGCAAGTGATCATCCCAATTACCTTTGAAATCCAAGACACATGCCCGCAACATATCTTCAAGCGTCTGAATAGTCCGCTCCGCTTGACCATCAGTCTGTGGATGGAAAGCTGTGCTGAGATTCACCTGAGTACCCAAACCTTGCTGAATATTCTTCCAAAATTTAGCTGTGAACTGGGCCCCTCGATCCGAGATAATAGAAAGCGGAGTGCCATGAAGCCTTACTATCTCCTTGATATACAACTTAGCGTATTGTTCTGCAGTATCGGTGGACTTGACTGGCAAGAAGTGAGCTGATCTGGTGAGTCGACCCACTATTACCCAAATCGAGTCGAACTTGCACTGAGTGCGAGATAATCCTACCACGAAATCCATGTTGATCATCTCCCATTTCCACATTGGTATTTCCATAAGCTGAGTTAGCCCACCGGGCCGCTGATGCTCAGCCTTCACTTGCTGACAATTCAGACACGTAGATACAAAGTCTGCCACACCCCTCTTCATACAGTTCCACCAATAAATCTCCTTAAGGTCATGATACATTTTCGTAGAACCTGGATGCACGGAATACCTGGAATTATGAGCCTCCGCCATTACCCTCTCCCGAAGCTTATCCACATCCGGAACACACAGCCTACCTTGACACCGCAATACACCATCCTCGTCGCCGAGTAAAAATGTCGAAGTCTTGTTACTCAAAACTGCTTCCTTCATTTGAGCCAATGCCGGATCGATAAACTGCTTTTCCTTGACTTCCGCTACGAGTGACGATTCTGCTCCATTATGTACCATAACATTCCCCTCGTCTGATGTCAAAATACAAACCCCTAGACTGGCCAATTGATAAACCTCCCTTGCCAAGGGCCTTTGATCCACTCCCAAATGAGCCAAACTACCCATAGATTTCCGACTGAGAGCGTCGGCCACCACGTTCGCCTTCCCTGGATGGTACAAAAATGTTTCATATCATAATCCTTGAGTAATTCTAACCACCGTCGCTGCCTTAGATTCAATTCCTTCTGCTTGAACAAATATTGGAGACTCTTCTGGTCTGAGAACACATCCACATGGACCCCATAAAGATAATGCCGCCATATTTTCAAAGCGAACACAACTGCCGCAAGCTCCAAATCATGTGTCGGATAATTCTTCTCATGATTCTTGAGCTGCCTCGAAGCATACGCTATAACTTTCCCATGTTGCATCAACACACACCCCAAACCAACCCTGGAGGCATCGCAATAAACCACAAATCCTTTCGTGCCTTCCGGCAAGGTCAATATTGGTGCCGAGGTCAACCTTGACTTCAGTTCCTGAAAACTTTTCTCACAAGCGTCGGACCATTGGAACTTAACTGCTTTCTGCGTCAACTTAGTCAATGGGGAGGCGAGGGCAGAGAATCCCTCCACAAACCTCCGATAATACCCTGCTAAACCCAAGAAGCTACGAATCTCCGTCGGGGTCGTGGGTCTAGGCCAATCTTTTACTGCTGCAATCTTCTGGGGGTCTACCTGAATCCCTTCACTAGAAACAACATGACCCAAAAAGGCAACGGACTCCAACCAAAACTCACATTTTGAAAATTTAGCATACAACTGGTGCTGATGAAGAGTCTGCAGAACTGCCCTGAGGTGACCGGCATGATCCTCCCGGCTCCGCGAATAAACAAGGATGTCGTCAATAAAAACAATCACGAAGGAGTCTAGAAATGGCTTGAAGACACGATTCATAAGATCCATAAAGGCTGCCGGGGCGTTGGTTAGCCCAAAAGACATGACCAAGAATTCAAAGTGACCATAGCGAGTTCTGAAAGCGGTCTTGGGAATATCCTGCTCCCTAATCTTCAATTGGTGATACCCGGACCGTAGATCAATTTTGGAGAAGAACCTTGCACCTTGCAATTGGTCGAACAAATCATCTATTCGAGTCAGAGGATATTTATTCTTGATGGTGACTTTGTTGAGCTGCTGATAATCAATACACATCCGGAGCGACCCATCCTTCTTCCTGACAAAGAGAACCGGAGCACCCCACGGCTACACACTCGGCCGTATGAACCCCTTTTCTAATAAATCCTTCAGCTGCTCCTTTAACTCCCTCAACTCCGCTGGAGCCATTCTGTATAGTGGAATAGATATTGCCTGCATATCTGGCAATATATCAATCCCGAAATCAATCTCCCTATCAGGCGGAATCCCTGGAAGCTCGTCCGGAAACACTTCGAGAAACTCATTCACGACTGGCACGGACTCGGGGTAGACGCTTCTGAAGTGGTGTCCGCCACCCGGACCAAATGATAGATACATCCCTTCTTAATCATCTTTGAAGCCTTAAGGTAGGAAATAGACCTACCCTTCGGCACCACATCATTCCCTTTCCACTCGATAACCGGCTCATTAGGGAACTCGAGTCTCATGACTCTCGTTCGGCAGTCAAGTTTAGCAAAGCACGTATAAAGCCAGTCCATCCCCATAATCACATCAAAATCCACCATTCCAAGCTCGATAAGATTGGCCGTGGTAACGCGACCACATACCGTGACAACACAATTCCTATAAACCCGCGCGGCTGTAATAGAATCACCAACCGGAGTCGATACAGAGAACGGCTCATGAAGCTGTTCGGGTTCTATCCCAAAGCTTGAAGCAATGAATGGGGTGACATAAGACAAAGAGGACCCCGGATCAATAAGAGCATAACAATCAATGGCCTGAACAGACAAGATACCTGTAATCACATCTGGAGAAGCCTCTGCATTCTGACGACCACTCAAAGCATAGAACCGGCTGGGTCCACCTCTACCACGAGCTCCACCCCTAACTGTACCACGTCCTGCTGGGGCTGGAGGACGCCCAGATGATGTGGCGACTGAAGAACCGGACGACTGAGCAGATCCCCTACCCATGCCCTGACTGGGGGCACGACAGTCTCGCTGAATATGACCTCTCACCCCGCATCTGAAACACACCGGGATATCCAAGTAGCAAGTCTCTGTATGAAATCTCCCACACTTGGGTCATGGAGCCCTCCCCTGCTGCTGTGGTCTCCCTCCTGCACGACCAGACTGATGGGGTCTCCTACTGACTGAGCCTGGTCTCATGCGGCTGTTCTGCTGATAACTGTGCAGAGATGATGGTGCGCTCGTTGAGGACTGAGCATATGACTGAGACGGCCCTGACGACCCTCTCCCCTGAGCTGATCTCCCTGAGTGACCTGCTGATCGGGCCCTGTTGCTATTCTCCCTTTCCGTCCGAATCTTCAACTTCCTAGCCTCTGTGGCCTGAGCGAATCCCACTATCTTTCCATAGTTCATATCCGAGTGTAAGGCCGCTGTAGCAGCCTCATTTACTACCAAGGGACTAAGGCCCTGAACAAATCGCCGAACTCTAGCTGCCATGGTCGACACTAACTGTGGGGCATACTTGGACAATCTCACGAACTCCATGTGGTACTCCCAAACACTCATACTGCCCTGCTTGAGGGTCTCAAACTCCGTGGCACGGGCTGCTATTGTCTCAGCAGGCAAGAACTGGCCCATGAACGCATCTACAAACTCATCCCATCTGGCCGGAGGTCCTCCCTCCCCACGGGAGTCCTCCCACATCTCGAACCATGAATACGCTGCTCCCCTCAACTTGTATGATGCCAATTCAACTCCCTCTGTCTCTGAAGCTTTCATCACTCGGAGGGTCTTATACATTTCATCAAGAAATTCTTGCGGATCGGCCTCTGGGTCTGTGCCTGAGAACTCTGGAGGGGCTAAACGCAAAAACTGGTTAACTCTGGAGCTGGTAGAATCTCCTTGTCCGCTAGAGGATGTAGGGGCATCCTGAGATCTCTGGGCCTGAGCAGCTACTAACTGGGTCGACATGCGGATGGCTCCCCTAAGGTCCACATCAGAAACCTCGGGACCAGGAGCTGGAATGGTTCCAGATTCAGGAATATCGGCGGGAGGGATGGTGGCACCCTCTGCCGCTGCAGGATCAGAAACATGTTGGTCTGGGACAGACGGGCCAGGTAGGTTCAAGGCTGGGGAGTCACTCTCACCCACGGCATCAGGTACATGATTCATAGCCTCACTCGGGGTGGCATTGACCCCAAGGTCGAGTCCAGCTCTCTTCTTAGGTGCCATTACTGAAAAAGTTCGGAACAACGCACGAGTTAGATATAGATACTTTCACATTTCACTTCACCGCACGATACAGAATAACAAGGAAGTGGGAAATTTCCTAAATGTCCATGCAGCCCCCCACTTATAGATGTGGTCGACTTCACACCGATAAGTAGGGCTCTACTAGACACGGCTCCGAGACATCCTAGGACTCCTTAAAACCTTAGGCTATGATACCAAGTTTGTCACGCCCCAAATTCGAGGGACATGACCGGCGCCCGACAGGGTAGCCCCAGCCAAGCGAACCTGGATGCCTTCCCTAACCCACATGTTACCCCACGTTTTCCTTACTCAATTATTCCAAGGATTTGCCAAATAATTAATTAAGAACACTTTTTTTTATTTACAAAACACATACGTACTTACATAATAGTAATGAAATCACCAACTCGTTACCAACGTATGAAAACACGGATCTACACAAGTTTCTAACCCACATCTACTGTCTACGGAGCCTCTAATAGTACAAGAGGATAATACAGTATTTACCGGTAACAAGGCTCCGGCTATACCTTACACAAAATCAACTAAAACTCCGGAAACAATGTGGCCTGAACCATGTAGGGCCCCGAGAGGAAAGGGGCTCACCAAAAGCTGATGGATGACGAAGGGGAGCTACTATCGGTGGACTGGAGTACCTGCTACCGATCCACCTACAATCATAACACGAATGTAGCGCCCCCGGCAAAAGGGACGTCAGTACATTTGAATTGTACTAGTATGTATGAACAAACTTTGCTCCAAGTAAATTCGAACCATAAGCAAGTAAGTAGCAGTAATAAAAGTGACAATCAAATCCACAAGGAGGGAACAATTAAGCCAACAGGTATATAATCTCTCCTCCATAAACAGGCATGTAATTGTAATGGAAATAACAATCAAATCCACAAAGAAAAAGCTATTCAACAAGTTTACAATCTCTCCTGTTTCCCCTTCCACATTTCCACATCAATAATTTCACAATTTGTTCATAGTTTATTTCAATAGCGATTTTGATCGCTTTCCAACCTTATTACCTCGGCCACCCTTATCACCACAACCCACACCTTATTTCTTCGTGTTGCGGCGCGCAACCCGATCCCACCGAACAATCACAATTCATAAACAACACAACAACAACAACAATTCACAAAGAATAACAACAACAATCCTCAAGAACAACAACAATGACCCTCAAGGAACAACAACAACAATTTACAAAGATTAACAACAACAATCCTCAAGAACAACAAAAATGACCCTCAAGGAACAACAACAACAATTTACATGAACTTCCACAGCCATCAATACCATTTCCATGTATTCCACTACTCATATGCATTAATTGGTCACAACGATAATTTCCCACGACAAACCACATATGTTACTACCATGGTCATTCCGATCACATCAATTCCCATTTCCTTCCATTACTTGTTTCACAGTTCTTACCACATAGCACATTCACAATCGCAAACTTGGTTTATTTCTGATTAATTGCATCAATATAGCGAAGGCACAACCACAATCACTCAACCATACCAATCACAGGAATTACACAAACAAATCACGTAGAAATCACATACCAAGCACTCAAACACCCAAACAAGGCGATTTTACAAGTTCAAAGTTAGCCATACATACCTGGAGCCGAGTTCCCTTTTAACTTCTATTTCCAATTCACCAGTCTAGCAACGTCAATCTAGTGCACAAGTTAACGCGTATGACTTAGAAAAGAAGTTCACAATTTCTATTCAAACTTATTTAGGTTACCAACCCATCTTTGTACCATCTTTTACTCCTACCCAATTACTCTCAGTAGGTCTTAGGTTATAGAATGACATGTATGTATGAGTTCAACCACTATTTTCAAAAACCAATGCATGAGACTCCCCCCCTCAGTTTAAACCAGAAATTCAGTGAAAAGGGTTAGGGATGTTACCTGCAAGAAAAGGGGGATGAAGATAAGCTTGAAATTTCCCGGCCCGGATGGTTTTGAAGAATCAAATTTTGGAGAAGATGACTTTCTCTCTCAAGACCCTCTCTTCCTCTCTCTTATTTTGTGCAGAAGATCGTTAAAAATGAGGGGCTGGGGGTGTTTTATTAAAAAGGGGGTCGGGTATAAAATTTAGAAAATAGAAGCCCGAGCAAGATCTGCGGTCGCATTCTGCGATCGCAGAACTGAAATGCGGTCCGCAGATTGGACCGCGGAATTGCCCCCAAAACTCTGATGATTCTGTTTGGGTCTGCGACAGGAATGCGGTCCGCATTCCTGTTATGCGGTCACATTGTGCACCGCAGAACTGACCTTCACAAATCCTTGAGGAACTTATGCGATGATTATGCGGTCCACATATTGGTTATGCGATCGCATAATAGACCACATTTTCAACATTAATTTTGACAACTCTTCTGTTCCACTCTGCGGTAGAAATGCGGTCCGCATATCAATTATGCGATCGCATTTTGGACCGCATCTTGACCTTAAGTTTAGCCAAACCACAGCTTCACTATGCGTTAGGAATGCGGTTCGCATACCAGATCTGCGACCGCATTCTTGACCGTATAATGGCATTTTTTTGGGAAATTGATTCTTTTGATTTTTTTTCAAACTTAGATCAATACCAAGGGTCCGAACCGCGAAGAATTCTACGCATCCCTAACACATATTCGGAGTTGGCACCACTAGATACTAGGTTTTGAGCCAAAAATTTTACGGGGCCTCACATACATACTCCTATGTGTCATCTTATTTTGCTATGTATTTTGTTATGCCTCGTGATTCTTTGAGTGCTCCTGTATATGTGTCCACACCGATGGGTGATTCTATTATTGTAGATTGTGTCTATCGCTCGTGTGTGGTTATTATTGGGGGCCTTGAGACCCGTGTAGATCTCCTACTTCTTGATACGGTCGATTTTGATGTCATTTTGGATGGATTGACTGTCACCTTATCATGCCATATCGGACTGTCACGCCAAGACCGTGACCTTAGCCTTGCCTGGATTGCCTCGATTGGAGTAGAGAGGGACTGCTGGTCATTCTACTAGTAGGGTTATTTCGTATATGAAGGCTCGGCGTATGGTCGAGAAGGGGTGTTTGGCTTATTTAGCTTATGTTCATGATTCCAGTGCGGAGGTTCCCTCCATGGATTCTGTACCAGTTGTTCGTGAGTTTCCAGAGGTATTTCCTGTAGACCTGCCGAGAATGCCACCCGACAAGGATATTGACTTTTGCATTGATTTGGCTTCGGGCACTCAGCCCATTTCTATTTCGCCATACCGTATGGCCCCGCTTGAGTTGAAAGAATTGAAGTACCACTTGCAAGATTTGCTTGATTAGGGCTTCATTAGGCCAGTGTCTCGCCTTGTGGTGCGCCAGTGTTGTTTGTTAAGAAGAAGGATAGATCGATGAGGATATGTATGGATTATCGGCAGTTAAACAAAGTCACCATCAGGAACAAGTATCCATTGCCGAGGATTGATGATTTTTTTTATCAGCTTCAGGGTGCCAAGGTATTTTCAAAGATTGATTTGAGATCTGGCTACCATCAGTTGAGGATTAGGGCATCCGATGTCCCTAAGATAGCTTTTCGGACTCGGTACGAGCACTATGAGTTTCTAGTGATGTCATTCGGGTTGACAAATACCCTAGCAACATTATGGATTTGATGAACTGAGTGTTCAATCCCTATCTGGATTCCTTTGTGATTGTTTTCATTGATGATATCTTGATCTACTCCCGCAATCGAGAGGAGTCCGAGCAGCATCTTTGGATTGTTCTTTAGACTCTGACAGCCAGCCAGTTATATGCTATGTTTTCAAAATGTGAGTTTTGGTTGAGTTCAGTAGCGTTCTTGGGTCATGTTGTATCAGTAGAGGGTATTCAAGTGGATCGATCCTAAGAAGATTGAGGCGGTCAAGGACTGGCCTAGACCCACATCAGCTACAGAGATTCAGAGTTTCTTGGGTTTAGCGGGTTACTACCGTCGATTTGTGGAGGAGTTTTCATCCATAACAGCCCCGATGACCAGGTTGACCCAGAAGGATGCCCTGTTCAGGTGGTCGGACGAGTGTGAGGCGAGCTTTCAGAAGCTCAAGACACCTTTGACTTCGGCGCCGGTGTTCGTGTTGCCCACAGGTTCAGGGTCCTATACAGTATATTGTGATGCATCTCGTATTGGACTTGGTGCGGTGTTGATGCAGAATGGCAAGGTTATTGCATATGCTTCGCGGTATTTGAAGATTCACGAGAAGAATTATCCGGTTCATGATTTGGAGCTAGCAGCCATTGTTGACGCGCTGAAGATTTGGAGGCATTATTTATATGGCNAGGGACTCGCTCACTTTCAACGACCTCGACCGAATCAATAGGGGCCGCCCCTTGCTTCTGACAAGCTTCAGGATTAGGCTCCCCCAAATTGTCTGCCTAGTACCGCCCTATATACCCTCGTAGGCCTCTTGAGCTCGAGGCGGGGAGACATCGGAACCAAGCCGCTATTCGGAAGCCGCCAACTCAACAGTATGTGAAACAGATCCTCTCCCCCTTCGGATGCTATTAAGGGATCGTATTTCTTTTGGCCCCTAGATCGGGGGCTCCCCGACGCTTCTGAAATTAAAGCTAGTGGATCATCCTTAGGAACTTCCTCTATGATTCTCTTGGATTTCGGAAGATAAGTAGACGACCTCCCTCATTTCTTCCTCTTTTCATCGGGTTTTGAGCATCCGCTTCACCAGGCAGAGTTTCTCTCATCAAGAACACCTCCCCCAGACCTGCCCGAATACAAAAACAAGCACGAAGAATGAGAACGCAGTTAGCAGTAACTTTGGTAAAACTGAAACTATAGTTGAAAACAAAGTCCCACCGTGATCCTTGGCTTCCCACTGAGCCTTGGATAGATCACGCCACACGCGCTTAGCATACGGGCAAATCGAGTCCAGTTGAGCTACCCAGCCTGAAAGATTCCTAACCACATTAGGGTA